TTCAGCAGGGCACTGTACCATAACAATACTCAATTATTCATCAATGCTGTCAGGCCAGTAGCTCTTTCAAAACAATATGATTTATGGTTGAAGTATTTCTGAAACAGTCCTGGAAGATCACTACAGTTTGAAAAAGCTAGTAAAAAACCCCCAAATTTTTAACAGCTTCCTCCAAGTTGAAACGTCTCCCTAACCTCTTCTCTTTTGGGGTGAGGTGAGTAGCATTAAACTGAAGCAGAAAGGTACTCCAAAATGCAAATTAACTTTGGGCACATCCACTGTATGCTCTAAAGAAAAAAAAACATCTCTAGTTAACCAGACAGTCATAAGGAAGCTTTGCTTCCCAGAGCAATGAGAATGTAACTACTTTAATTCACGTAACAATTCTTTATAGAATTAGCAGAGGTGAAGAAAAAAAATTAATGTGTAGTCAGAAGTCATGTCCAGTGCCTTCCATGATATTTCACCACATATGGAGGTAACCTGTGTTCTTTAGGTCCAAGACCACAGTACAGTAGTTCAGAATGAAGACAATTTTATTTGTAATATACAAACTCAAGCATTTGGGGGGTAGTGAGAACTAAGACAACTCATAGCAATGTTAGGTACTCTCATTGTTAAAAAGTAATGCATTTTGTCTTGCTTTAGCTTCCACCCCTGACTGTGGGATAGTGTAATGTTAAGTTAAAGTCCTGTAAAATTTAAGTCCACCTCTGGGCACCCGTCTATGAATAGGTCTTCTCTTAACCTTCCTACATAAGCAGATCAAAGTGCTTTAGGTTTTCATAGATACTATTTATCTAAGCAATTGGCTGACGGCTTTCTAGTTTTAAAGCACAGGCCAGAACTGGACAATAAGTTCACGAAGTCTTAGCAGCGCTCTGTGTTGAGCCTCCTGTCTATTTCTGTAGGAGATGATCCAGTCACACTCAAAAGCATCATATCAATTCTCTTTGCGTCTGCATTACACTTATTCATCAGGGTCTTATACAGCAAACGTAGACCATAGTACGAATTTACTAGTAGTGGATTGCTGCCCTATGTCTTCAAACAAAAGTGTTCATTGAAGTAACCTGTGAACATGAGAGTGATATGCATTTAACATTTCTCATTAGATTTCAAAAGAAACTTACTTTAAAAATTATGTTCTATGAAAGCTCTTATTTCACTTAAAAAACCAAGAATAGATGGTGACAAAACACATTTGGTATTTAATTTTACTGACATCATACAGTAGCAGCAGGGAAGCATCATATAACTACAACACGAAGCTGTGTGTCTGCCAATGTCGTATTAGTTTCTGCTTCTAAGTCTGCACCTGTTTAATTTCATTTACTCACTGATGTATGATTCACCATTCTCATAGGCAGGTGAATGATACAAATTATGCTTATTTTAACTCACACAAAGGTGTGAGAAAAGATCCCTTGCATTTTCTTTAGTTAGCTCAGCAACATGGGTTCCTTGGGAAAAAACACACATTACAAATCATTACTGTTGTAGCATGTGTCTGAAAACAGGAATACATAGAAAAGTTAGGAGGATCATAATGAAAATCAAGGCTAACACAAAAAAAGTGCTCCATGACACGAGGAATGGATACTCCATAGATTACTACTCAGAATCCAGAGAAAAGGCAAGAGAAGAAACAGGTGTTTGTATAAATCAGTGCGCTCCTCCCTTGCACTTTGTAGGATTCAGTATTTACCACACCATCTGTGAGAACTTAACACATCATTACAGAAATGCATCATCATTCCAGAGAATTTTAACCTAGGAATGTAACCCTGTCAGCTGTGATCATGGAAGTTTTAGGGCAAACATCTTCATCACTCTCACTCCTTTCAGTTTGCATTTGCCTTAGTCTTCAGATTACAGCAGCCACAAAAATTAATGCTAGCTGCGCCAAAGAAAAACTGCAATCAGATATGTCACGGTCTAGGTGCATTCCTAAGACAGCCCTCTTTAAATATTGTTTAAAAACAGGAAAGAAACGGATCATATATCTTTTACCAGTTCATACCTCTCATAACAGTAAAGAATTATATTCTCTTTTAAAAGTCAACATATAGGGCCCTTGGATGGCCTCATGTAGCATGACACACAGCACTGTTGCTTCAGTGAAAAGCTGGCCCACCGAAGTATGGTAAGCTTCCTCACAGCTAAAAACCAGATTTTAATATCACAGTCATTTTAAAAAAACAAAAGAAGAAGAAAAAAAAGCTACTGTCCCAAAAACTGAGGCAATTTTGTGCAGAACTACAACATGCTTATAGTAATATAAGCAGTACTGTGTAAATATGTAGCATTGGTTTTTGCATCAGTTCTTCCTAAATTCAAGCAGCCATTTTCTTAGGAACTATCCAGCCTTTAAAGAACATGAAGGAGACTAAATTATTTTATATTTACCTCAAGCGAGATAATCAGATACTACCGTTTTTTATAGATTTAAAAATCAATTGCACTAAAGGTTTTTCCAGAAACACACACAATAAA